ATACAATGCTGTGTATGCTGTGGCCCACAGCCTTCATGAGATGCTTCTTCATCAAGTAGAAGTAATACCAATAAGAAAGGCAGAAGAGCTGATGTTTTCAGCCTGGCAGGTAGCGTGTCTCTCATTGGGTTGCTCAGAACATCAACACTGTGATTTTTCTAAATCTATGCTTTTTGAGGTCACACTTCTTATTTTGGATCTCTAAGGGTACAAAATAAACTACTTGTAACTGATAAAGGGGTAAGTAAATCAAAACCTATACAGAAATGGTTAAAAAGAACAAAGTGTCCATGGAAGGAAGACTGTGTGTTCTAAATCCATATCAGTGTTTCGTGTTGCCAGATCAAGTATTTCTATATTAAAGATACAGAAACTGTCTTGTCTTGTGAGTCCTATGGCAGTCAGTAATGAAAGTATTTACTTTCATAGTCAGAAGATATGGAAGTAAATTGTTAGGCCAGAGATGACTGAGGAAGGTAGAGTGCCTATGCAAATAGAATCAAACATGGAGAAAGGAGTTAGAGAGACAAGCTGGAGGAAGGAACAAGTAATATAGTAATATAGGTGTATTAATGGTGTAATATAGTATTATATTATAAGTATAATATAAAAAATGTGTGTAGAGTCCCAGCTATGGAGAATAGGATTCAGAAGAAAAGGAAGGGACTGAGCTCACTGAAGATAAAGACACTTAGACACAAGACTACCACGACATGCAGCAAAGCCTGTGGAAGCCAAGTGGGCAATGGAGGTGACTGATGATAGGGTACCTAGGTATGTATAATTCCACAACTTGTAGTGAAGACTACAGAGGAAGTCAGGGATAGAGTTGCCCCAGGCTAGGGTACTCAGGCAAAGTCATTTAACCTGATTTCAGCAGAAGCAAGGACTGGCCAGAAGTGTACTGAACCTTGGACATTGATTATTACTGCAAACAGAATCTGACTCTCAGGGGGGAAAATAGGAATAAAACGTCCTGAACATTAGTCAGAGAGAGGAAAATTATTCTTTAGTCCTGCTAGAACTTATCTTCTCCTAAATTATAAATGCCTTTAGTAGAAGAGAAATGTAACTTAAATTTTCAAAAAAACAAATTTTTTTCTAAATCAACAAATTAAGTCCTGCATTAAATCCCAGTATAGAAACAAAAATGTGAAAGAAAAAAAAGTAAATGTCTTCTCCAAAAATGATCAATTCTATAGTAACTTCAACACTAATTTTTTTTATTGTATGCATGGTCTTTTTTATTCACTGCATGTGTATGTTTGGAACCATACTGCCTCAAACTGCCCATGAACTAAAAAGACAAATGCTGTATACCATGCGTGGTCATAGTATACAGAGCAATTGAAAGTTAAATGTAATTTCAATCAAAATTACACCATCATGAAATCTCAACATGCATGACAGACTAGTTGACAAGCCAATATATAGAGGGTCCTATCCCAAGGTGAAGAGCACCAGACATACCTGCTGTGTACATGGCTATTGAAAGGGACAAGATGAGACTCACTGGCTCGTAGCAATTCTGATGCTGAGCTGCAAGTGTGGGAGGCGCTCTGTTAGAATGCAGCCCACTCCTGGCTGTAGCAACTGGCTTCTCCTTACGAGCTGGTTCTACCCTCAAAATTAATTTTCTCTTTCTATCAACAATAATTCTTAACATTAATTCTACAGTAAAAAGATAAAGATGGGGAGACTCAGTTAGAATGTAGAATCTATTCAAGTATTCCAAAATGTATACCTCAACATCAATGAGAAGCGATTTAAACAGACCTACAATCAGCAATGAGAATAAGGCAGGAATAAAATAATTTCAGAAATTCCAGGAACAGATTCTACAGAAATTTACCAGAATGTTAAAGAACTACTATCAGTACTTCTCAAGTTATTCTATAAAATAGAAAAGGAGTGATTGCTTCAAAACTCTTTCTATGACACCAGATTGATTAATACTGGCGTGTTAACCTGAAACTCAAACCAGATAAAGACACAACAGAAAAGGAAATCACAGACCAGTCTTGTTAACAAACATATACTTACAAATTAATGAAATGGAAGGGAGAAATTCTATAATGATTCTACAATTTCAAAAAAAACAAAAAAATAAAAATATGAATAAAAATAAATTCTCAATAAAACATCTCTAATTTTAATTCAGTATCAGATAAAAACGGTCACCATAATCAAATTGTCTTCATTCCAGATATTCAGGGATGTATCAATCAACAAATGTAATCAGTAAATGAAATTAATCACATAAGTAGACCCAAACATAGAAATCATATGATCATATCGCTAGAAAAAGAAAAGGCCTTTGAAAAAAAATTCAATATTACTTTATAATAAAAGTTATGGAGATGTTAAGGATATTTCAGAAACCTACATCCAGAATTGTGCTAAACCAAGGGAAAACTAAAAAATTCCCAACTGAGATTTGGGAATGCAAAATTAACACAAAAGTCTTCCTCTATACCAGTGATGAACACATCAACAAAAAAAGAAGCAATACCATTGACAATAGCCATAAAGAAATTAAATCTCTGAGAATAAACCTGGGCAAGGCAACCTAACCAGGAAAGAGCTCTACCATGAAAACTTTAAGGCACTGAAGAAAGTAACTGAGTTGAAGAAGATACTAGAAAATAGAAAGACCTCCCATGACCATGAATTATGTAAATTGATATTGTATATTGGTCAGAGCATACACAGAAATTGAAAGTTAAATGTAATTTCAATCAAAATTACACCGTCATAAAATCTCAACATGCATTTCAGACTAGTTGACAAGCCAATATGTAGAGGGTTCTATCCTAAGGTAAAGAGAACCAGATAGTCGATGCCTGGTGAGATTGTTAGAGTAAGTTTTCTCCAGAGGTGTAGTCCCTGATAGGTTATCCAGTCCCAAGTGGTCAGCAGTAAACACATGTACATATATACAAACTACAGTGAATGGATTCAGTATAGCCTACTGGGGGAGGGGGTGAGTCATAAATTTGAAAGGAAAGTGGGGGCTATGGGATGAAAGGTGAAAAGCAGAAATTATGTGAATACCATTTAGTTTAGTATGGCTTGGTTTGGTTTGGTTTGGTTTGGTTTGGTTTGGTTTGGTTTGGTTTGGTTTGGTTTGGTGTGGTGTGGTTTGGTTTGGTGTAGTTTAGTTTAGTTTACTCGTATATGAAATTCTCTTCTATAATTTTATTGAATATATTTACTGTCCCTTTAAGTTGGGAATCTTCACTCTCATCTATACCTATTATCCTTAGGTTTGGTCTTCTCATGTCCTGGATTTCTTGGATGTTTTGGTTTAAGAGCTTTTGCATTTTGCATTTTCTTTGACAGTTGTGTTAATGTTTTCCATGGTATCTTCTGCACATGAGAGTCTCTCTTCTATCGCTTGTATTCTGTTGGTGATGCTTGTGTCTGTGACTCATGATCTCTTTCCTAGGTTTTCTATCTCCAAGTAGTCTCCCGTTGTGATTTCTTTATTGTTTCTACTTCCATTTTTAGATCCTGGATGGTTTTGTTTAATTCCTTCACCTATTTGGTAGTGTTTTCTTGTCATTCTTTAAGGGATTTTTGTGTTTCCTCTTTAAGGGCTTCTACCTGTTTACCTGTGTTCTCCTGTATTTTTTTAATGGACATGTTCTTCATTGGAGATTTCCTGTTGTGATGCACTGGGCTACAAGTCTACTCTGCATCTGGGGCCTGAGTCTCTTCCATCCAGACTTCCAGATGCAGACAAGACTGTTCACTGCTGTCTGAACTGACAAGTGCAACATCTTTGCTTGACCTTGTGGGACACAGGTACACAATGCTAGATCGGTGTGTTTGGCTCTGCTAGGATGGACTCACTAGTCTCTTTTCTGACACTCCTAGGACATGAGGCTGAACAGATAGGCTGAAATGCTGAACTGATCGGATGCTAGCAGCCTCTTCATTTATTTCCTCCCTTTCAGAGGAGATCCAGGAATAGTGCTGGAGTTGACACAAGTGTATTACTCATGATAAAGCTGGAGACTCAGGCAACCTGGGAGGTGAGGAAAGCCCTGGGAAGCGGTCTGGCTGATTCATCTTTACCTCAAACCAGTACTGCTGCCTTGATAGTTCTTAATGTAGCTGAAGTGTCATTGGCTCAAGATTAATTTTTATCCTTTAGGTAGTGAGAAGGACAAAAGTTATTCTGAAACCATTTAAAAAAGACTCTGAATCAGGTGTGGTGGCACATTATCTCAACACTTAGAAGGATGGAAAGTTCCAGGTCAGCCTGGGCTACATACTGAGACCTGACACCACATTTGTGGAAGGGGAGGAGAATGAAGGGAAAAGGAGGAGGAAGATGAAGAGGAAAATGAAGTAGGGAAACAAGATGACTGGGAGCTGTGGGTAATAAATAAATATAATAATGAAGAAAACCATAAAGAATACAATGAACCTGGGTGGATGTATACATAAACACACACACACACACACACACACACACGCTTGCCTGGAAAATTCCTCATTCATATATATCCAGCAACAAAAGATTTCTAAAGCTCTGTCAGAAAACTGCATGAAATTGTTGAAGCCATTTAATATCTTGATTAAAAATTTTTTTTAAAAAAGGAGGAGGCTGTGTCAGAGCATCCTCTTGATCCATGCTCTGTTCTCTATGTAGAATCCAGTCCTGTGAACAAAGCTCCCATGGTGGTCTACAGTTGTGATTTGAGGTTTCCCCATCATGGAATGAAAGCTTTGTTCCCATAAGGCAGTTTCATTTTGTGAGGTCTTGGAGACTTTTTAGGCAGGACCTAGTTTTGGAGGGCGTCAGGTCACTGGTAGTGTATTGTGTGCTCTCCCCTTCCTGCCTACCATTAGTAGGAGAGTCTCACACTACCATATGCCCCCACCATGATGCTGTGTCTCATTGTAGGCCCCAAGCAACAGAGCCATGGCCAGAAGCCTTGGAAATGGAGCAAAATAAAAATCCCTTTTAAAAAAAAAGAAATTCTCTAAAAGATAATTTTAAGACATTATTCTTTACAAGCATATAAACGTCTTAAAATTAATGTGAAGGCACAAAAGAGCAAGGATAGCCAAAGCAATCTTAAACAAAATTAATACAACTGGAGGTATCATCATACCTACTTTAAGCTCATACAACAGAGTCATAATAATACAAATAGCATAGTACTGGCACAAAAGCACACATATATGATCAATACAATGAAATAGAATGCAATATAATAGAAAGAATA